TTACTTAAGAAAGAAATAGCCTGCGCTAATTAATCCCAAGCATTCTTGTCCTCCATGTAATCCACAATCGAGTAGTAGGCCCTCTGGCACAAGCCACGTTTTATTGCGGATTTAAATTTGTTAATACTCAACTCCTGAATATTATTTGGGATTTTATTATAAAATCGGACACATTGACCTCGAAAAGACTTGTTTATCTTTTGGAGCCTAGAGGCGGGTACAACAAATTTATTTTTATTTCTGGTATTTATGGCATGTACATCACTTTTTTTCAAAAAGCTATCTTTATTTTTGTGAACATATATTACATTTTCATAAATATATTGACTTGCCACTGTCATTATATTTATTTCTTTAAATTTCTGCCTCAATGAACAACGATTGCCTAAATTATAAAGTGCTCGAATAGCTCTCTTTTGCAGCACAAAAATGGTTTGAATGTCGGCAGCATTCCCCCACAGCAGAATACCGTACGACATTATGCTGTGAAAGTAACTGAAGTAAACAAGTCGTGCTGTATCAACATCAGTCAACTCTCGGATTTTCCTTACTGCGTATGCTGCTGAGCTGAGTCTACTCGACAATTTATCAATATGTGGGCCCCACTGTAGCTTAGCATCTAGTGTTATACCTAAAAATGTCGTAGTGTCCACAAGGTCCAGCCCGACATCCTTAATTATCACAGTAGTTTTCACTGGCTTGACGTTTGGCATAGTGAAACGTATACACTTAGTTTTTTGTTCATTTAATAGTAAATTGTTGACATCAAACCAATGAACCACTTTCGAAATGGCGCTGTTTACAAATGTGAAATCAGAAAGTGTCCGTTTTAGTCTAAATAATAGTGATGTATCATCTGCAAACAACACAATCTCGAGATTGTCCTTGACAAAGTGAGGTAAGTCGTTAATATATACTAAAAACAAAAAAGGGCCGAGAATAGAACCCTGTGGAACGCCCATTTCTATCACAGAGCCTGGAGACCGCTCACCATTAATATCAACTTTTTGAATCCTATTACATAGATATGAGGCAAGTAGTTCCAGGGCTTTATTTTTGATACCATAGTGCTGTAATTTCCTGATCAGCGTTTCATGAACAACACAATCAAAAGCCTTAGATAAATCGCAAAAGATACCTAGAGAATCGTGGGCATCCTCCCAGGCATCAAATATATGTTTTACTAGCTCAACACTAGCATCAGTTGTGGAGCGACCCCTTGTAAAACCAAATTGTCTATTGTGCAATAAATTATTATTATTAAAAAAACTGTGCAATTGATCATACATAATTTTTTCAAAAATTTTACTAAATACTGGTAGTACTGAGATAGGTCTAAAGTTAGTTGGGTCAGATGTACTACCAGATTTGAATAAGGGAATAATTTTACTAGACTTCATAAGATCAGGAAATACACCACTATCAACACATTGATTAAATGTAAATGACAATTGATTAGCCACAAGAGATATAATTGTCTTAGTAATTAAAACAGAATTTCCCCATAGGTCGGTTGTTTTTTTAACATTAATAGTGTTAAAGGCTTTAATAATTTCAAAGGGGGACACATATTGGAACTTAAATTCACTATCAATTCTTCTAACATTCTCTTTTAAAATTGATTCTGCAAGGTATGGTGAGGAGTTCAAAGATTTAGTAGTTGATACAGGAATGTTAGTAAAAAAATTCTCAAATGCAGCAGCAACCTCAGCATTTGATGTGATAAATTTATTGTTTATGTTTAAATTAAATTCATTATTACGGTTTGGATCTTTGCCAGTTTCACTATTAATAATTTTCCAAGTGGTTTTAATCTTATCATTACTACTTTTAATCTTTGAACTAATAAAACGAGACTTAGCCAGTTTACAAAGTTTCCTAAACAGCTTCGAATATTCTTTAACATAATTATGAAACTGTTCACTTTTATTATAATTCCTCTCATCGTATAGCTCGTATAATCTTTTCCTACTTTTGAGTAAGCCAGGGGTAGCCCATTCACTAAATGTGGCGTTACCTTTAACCACTAGCGTTTTTGGTGTAAAAATGGTGTTAAATGTTGAAGAGAAAGTTTCAAAAAAACTATTATAATAAGTATTAGGGTTATTCTCTACACAGAGTACTGAATTATTAAAAGCAGCTTTAAGTTTATCCTTAAAGTTTTCACAACGCTTTGCGGTTTTAGGTATCACCACAATTCTTTTTTCTGAGACTTTTTCATACCTATCACAGAAAGATACTAATTGACCACAGTGGTCAGAATGTAATTGATTTATTATTTTCTTGTCCTTAATAACAATATCTGTAAATATATTGTCCAAACATGTGGCAGTGGTGGCAGTGATTCGTGTACACTATCGGATGTGTGCACTATCGGCCATGGAGCGTATGACGGCCGGTAGCGAGAGATTACCCCCGATAACTGCAATGAGGACCCGGCGCTGCGGCGCCCAAGCTGGAAAAATTGCCGCTGCAGCCCTTCCCACTCGACGATGACCGGCTGGAGCGCCTCCACGGTGGCAAAGCCAGCACGTGGGGCCTCCAGCCGGAACTCTTTTTTTCATTGTCATAGGTATCCTAATTGTTGTAGGAATCAAATATAAATTTTCTTCCCCCTCGCACAAACTGTTTACTAAAAAAAAGAACTCCCGCACTAGGAATACATCCTGTGTCGCGGGGGACTTTACAAACATACATGAAGCGGACACAAAGAACACCCAGACTCAGAACGACAATTTGTGGATCACACGAAGTGTCGTCCCATGCGTGGTCGATCCACGCATGGGACACACAGGATGGACCCACAACACACAGCGTTGTACGAAGTAGCGTGGCGACCGCTTCCACCACTACGCCATCCCTGTAGTCAAATTATCGTTTTAGTATAATGTAAATGTATGTATTACGGATTTAGAAGGTAAGGGAATGTATTAGAGCTATTTTAGGTCTGTTAGTTTAAGGCCCGGCGCCCACTATTTACACGGCATGCCGGTTGATTCTTCGTCATACCTACGAACTGGCGCACACTGACCTTCTTTATTGCTCAAGAGCCCTCAGCTATATACCGAGGTGCGTTTGGAAATACCGAGGAGTTCTCTGGCATGCCGAGGCCGCGAGGTGTACTTAGGATTTGACTTGGTGTCAAACTACCGAAACTAGCCGAGGGCTTGGATTGGCTTCCGAAGACTTCCGAGGTATACTGAGACGTCCTTAGGTATGCCTTACATTGCCGAAGACTTTCGAGGTATGCCGAGGTGTACCTTGCCAGTCTTGACCTGCCATGCCCTGCCGATGATAGGCGCTGTGCCTAAGAATAATAGTCCAAGTCCGAGTTACAAAACGTACCTCATTTTGAAATTTCGTTGAATATATCCTTTTGAAGAAAAAGTTGAACCGACTTCAAACAATACTAACAAAGAGCACTAAAAACCTAGCAGCAGTCGCGGTAGATTTGCTGTTATTTTTTGAAGAGTTCCGTTGTCTGTCTCCGAAACTCATCATCAGATCTCTATGAAATTTAAATAGTACCACTTTGGCATAAACCCCTTTCGAACAAATAAAGAATATTGGAAATCCGTCTATTTATATGACGGAGTTATGCCCGAACATACATTAAAAAAAAAAACATCCGAATTGATACCTTCTCCTTTTTGAAGTCAGTTAAAAAATAAAATCCTTTGAAAAACAATGAAGATATTACTTGTTAAGAACGGGTATAAATTAACTAATTAATTAAGAGACTTGGCTGGCTGTTTTTATCTCTGCCCTCCATTAACCTCTATTAAAAAAAAAACCTTAATACGCTATCGAAAATGTCATGAATTTACTTATTACGAGTAAATGGTGTTTAAAGAAAGAAAACTATTACATTATATCTTTTATTTATGTATAAAAATATAAACTAAGAATTAATATTTCTTGTGAGTATGTGTTTATCTTCTCTGCCTTACAAATTAAATTACAATCAGTACTTACGAATAGTTCTTTCATCAACTAATAATCTTCCTTTGGTCTTCATTGATAGTCATAGTGGGCATACAAATTAAAAAAATATTAAAGGTTTATAGAAAGTGATTGATAAGTGCCTAACTTCTAGACATGGGACATTTATGTAACAGTAACTCTAGTAATTATTTTATTATATATAGCTACCATTCCCTACATAATAATTTAAAAAAAAACTCGATTTCCTACTGATTACTAATATGAAAATGAAAATAAGAATGAAAAAATGATTACTAAAACAGCTTATTCGCGCGTGAGTAAGTAGCAACCCTAACCTACGTTCAAATAAATCGAATGATAAATCACAGTTCACTGTTTGTTTGTCCCATGTCTACTTACTTCCTACCAATGATACATATAAATATGGAACTCGATGTTTCTACTCCACATGCATATAACAATTATAATAGCTATATAAATCTTAGACACAACTGTCTGATCTCAATCTAGACAGAACCTGTACTACAACAAACAGACTGCTGCTAAACATGCTTTTACATTTCTTAATACATACATATTATTAAACTGCACCTAGACACAGAACAAAATGATACTGTTCATCACACAATATCTCCTGGGTTGGAATCAAACCCTCGATCTTTGGCTTGGTAGTCAGGATCCCTAACGAACACGACCAATAGGCCCAATTGCAGATTAGGCCTTTGCAGCCTTTCTCTAGCAGGTCTAGTAAGTATATCCCAATTTTTGATTGGAATTGGTCTAGTACCAACAGATCAGCTACATATCTACATATTTCTCACAGCGCTAACCGTATTATCTCCTCAGTGAGGTCAGCCTCCTTTGCACTCCTCAAACTGTCTATAAAATTGTCCTTATCCCTATCTATATTCATTTTATAACTAATGTTAAAAGTTTTCTTTGCTAGTTAGCTGACAATAAATTTTGACTTATTTGGTATGGAGATAGTTTGATTTTTAAGGCGATTTCCGACATACACGCGGACGGTGCCGAGGGCAAAGCTAGTATAATATATTTTAGTCAGGCCCTTTAAGAAGCTTCTCGTATGTACTTATCAGCTTGTTTACAAATGTTAAAACAGATGGCGCTGTTTTAAACAGTTCTGCGATGAATTCTTTTTCATCGCCACCGTCCATATCCTTCAACAGTTTGTATATAAAGGTACCATTAAACGTTTCGTGGTATTTCGTTGTCATGAACGGTGATCCACATAATGTATTCAAATAGTTCATGTGCAGTAAACAATACTGTAATTCATACAATGTGTTAAATGCTACATTGTCGATCACGTCCGGTGTCCAAGTAAAATATTTCTTTGTCGCGAGTATTGCAGCAACGCAATCATTTTGATTTATTTTACTATTTTTCTTCCTAGGGGAATCTTTTTTTTTAGATGCAAAATGTATAATATATGACACAATAAAACAGTATACTTCCTTTGTCACCGGTAGGTTCATCTGTGTCTTCTTGCGAGTGAAATATACCAAAGTAATGAATAACATTCTCGCTTCCAGTCTTTTACAAAATCTGTATTTATATTATTTGTTAACAAAAAATGATCAAATAATTTCAAGTGCCTTACGTTTTTCCATCCATTTTCAAACACAGATTCTGAGCATTTGTATGCTTTCCAGATTTTATCTTCAGTCTTGATTTTCAGGAAGCCATCATATTTATGGTAAACAGTAATTTCAGTTAATTTATAATTAGTCAACAAGTTGTGAGCATATTTTATTATGTCCGCCGAGAATAGAAGTACGTCATTAGCGTTTTTCGATTTGGTATCTGCCCAGGAGCCTAGAATACATTTATGAGTGTACAAGTTGATGTACCGAATAGGAATTTTCTGGGCAGCGACTCCTTTTTCGAACCACTGAGGGTCACGAAAGGATACACTGAGTTCATCATTTTTGCCACTTCTATTCAACAGGTAGGCCGCCACAACTGGCAAGGAATTCTCATTCATGCTGTTTAATATATTTTGCATCTGACTCAGAAACTTCTCTTTCTCATCTTCGTTATTTAGGAATTCCAAAATACTGTTCAAAGATTCTTCTTCGCTATGTTCTGAAAGCCATTTGAGTTTTTTTTTTTATCTGTAAGTACAAATTGCGATCAGTAACATTCCACTTTAGCAATAGATTATTGAAATGATTGTGTTCGAAAACATTTTCATCTGATAGAGCTGCAAATATTGCAAGTTTTTTGTTAGTTATCGAATATTTTTGCATGAAATCTTTAATGTGGTATTGTTTGCAGGTGATCTGTTTCGATTGGGTTGAGTATTTCAAAGTCGTCGACGGTATATAGGGCGCACCCCTAAAACAAAAATCTATGTCATTGCTTAAAACTGAGCAATTTAAAGCTCGAGCTAATGCGACACAATCTTCTTTCGATTCAAACACACATGTTGCGTACTTAACACCGACTTCTTTAAGCACTTGCTTGCATACATCTTTGGCGAATACAGAAAAAACTTCTTCCTGATAATATTCACTTCCAAGTTTTGCTTTTAGTTTCTTTATTTTTTTTTCTACATCAGTATTGCCACCTTAAAATACAACATAACATTCGACGTTCGAATTTTTAAACATATAGAGAAGTTTTCTTACACGTTTGGCATGTTCATTAGTCTCAATACCAAATAAGTGGGGAGGTTTGCTATCTTGATTAATTGAATAAAAGAAATTTTGCCCATCAATGACCAGGGCACAGTTTTTCAAGGTGTGCGGTTTAGATTCTTCAGATTGAACGAGTTTCGGGAAACATATAATCCTCATGTTGATAGCTGTAACCAATGAAAAGGTATTATTAAGATATATTTTTTTTAACTTAGAGATTAAACTTGTACATATAAATCCTATCTCCACTTCACTAATAGGAAGCGATAAATTTCCCAAAGTTCCATTGTGGCATAAGAAACAATCACCACTACGCTAGTGGTACAGTCTTTTTTTTTAAGTGTGGAAACTCCTCCGGCCGTCACCCCACTGGGACTTTTCGGTAGGGCGGTGTCGTAATCGAACCGACTAAAACCACACGAGGTGCGACTGCTCGTAAATAAGAAGGGTCCGGATACAGCTGTTATTAAGATATCCGGACTCCTACTAGCGCCTGTGCGTAATAGCGCGGGCACTACCTTCGGGTACATATTCTACTTAGGCGACGTCCAGCACATGCGGACGTGGCCTCTTCGAGGCTGGCCATTATGGCATGCGGAGGGGAAAACCCGCCCCGTCCACCCGCACCACAGTTGGAAGGAAAGAGTCCCGTGCTGCCGCCCTACGCACTCGACGTTTAGCCTGCAGCCGAGACAACCAACTTCGACCAATTGCAACGGCCTCACGACACACGCGTACCTGTGGCGCGTACCTGTGGGGCCGACTTCCGCTACCCGCCCAGAACTCAGCCGTCCGCTGATTACTTCTAAAAATCCCACGGTTGAGTTCCGGCCAACGCGCACGACGCCTTTGGCGACACGGTGCGATAACCGCGTATGGCTCTAAACGTCAATACTCTGTGAGGGTGCCAGAGGTGCTCTCTATTCTGGGCGGTCGAGTATTCTCCGCTCACACCGGTGTGTCAATAACCAGACAACCCCCGTGTACATCCGTCTTATAGTACACGTACACGTACGTTGTGCAGATTGGGCAAAAGTCGACCAACCACAGACGCAAAGCCGACCAGCTTTGGAAGAAGCTTTCAAAAGTGCTCGTCGAAGAGCCACCTACCGTCGAGAATCAGGCCTAGATACTGGACACTATACTGGATACTGGACATAGGCCTCTCCCATTGCACGCCACTTAGATCGATTTTGGGCTTCTCGCATCCAGCTCCTGTCAGCCATTTTGCCCAAATCATCACTCCACCTGGCCTGAGGGCGTCCGTCACTACGTTTGCCGAGGCGCGGTCTCCACTCAAGAACTCGTTTTCCCTAACGGTTGTCGGTTCTGCGGCTAATATGACCAGCCCACTGCCACTTCAGCTTGCTGATCCGGTAGGCTATGTCGGTGACCTTGGTTCTCTGTCGGATCACCTCATTCCTGATGCGATCCCTTAAAGAAACGCCGAGCATAGCCCTTTCCACAGCACGTAGAGCGACTTTGAACTTGTGGACCAGCCGTACCGTAAGTGTCCACGTTTCGGCTGCGTATGTCATGACGGGTAGGACGCAGTCATTGAAGACTTTCGTCGCAGCAAACAGGGCAATCGAATCGGACAAGATTTGTCCCTGCCGGCAATTGTCTCAAAACACGCCCCTTTTAATACCTAAAAAGTCTAAAAGTAACGGTCGCGGTCTTTAAAGGTCGCAAGGGCTTCTTGACAAACACACAAACAAACTTCGCGCTTAAATGTCATCAAATTAATTAGTCGTCTGTGGAAAAGTCTTTAGGCATAGCATTTAAAGGAGCCGGGCGAGGCCCCTCCAAGAGCGAGACTTTGATACTGATAAACTCGCATTCGTCATAAATAATTTCGATTCCGATTTACATTTTATCGGAACCGAAGTAGGAATTGGAGGTGTGTAAAATCAAATTAAGTATGTTATGCAGAAAAAGTCGAAGCTTCGTAACATTCCAACAAAAACAACGGGTGCCTGTGTACTGTTTTCTTGTGTGCTGTCGTATCTAGAATAAGGTGCGGTGAAACCTAAGAATTGTAATACAGCACAAAAAAGTTCCAAAAATGTTTTTTAATCAACTTGGTTGACTTGGTTGACTTTTATATTACTTGGTTAAACATGGGTTAAACCAAGTAATATAAGTAGTCAATCAGTGACTTCTTTGAAACTATACTACTAAGTTAGCACATTTTATTAAATAAATCTATTTTTACTTACCTAGGAGTTATTTTATCTTTCTTCAAAAATATTCCAGAAATAACCAATCACAAATGTGCGTAGTAGCACTGAGTCACACATTAAACGAATGCGTCGCATCGCATACAACAGTAAGAACAGTAGAAGTTTACAAGAAATGTTGCAGTCACTCACAAAATTTCGTCTTTTTTCAAATCATTTACATCTGGAATGAAATGGTGTATTATTTTGATTGATTGTTGTATTTTTGTTATTGGTTGGTCACACATTATTAATTAGACAGTCACAGACTGCCGAATTTTTGTAAGGGCGGTACTGACCCTGCCTTATACCCGAAAGAGTAAATTACGGACTGGATTCATAACCAGCATACTCAACGTACTGCCTGCATTCACCAAGGTAGCTTGCGACGAATTTGACTAGGTGACTAGGTGATTCGAAAATAGCACATATCAACTAAGTCGAATGCCTTCCGGAAATCGAAGTACGCGCTATCAATCTGACCTCCTTTTTTTACGTGTGGAAACCCCTTCGGGCCGTCACCCCACCGGGGTTTGCGGCGGGGTGGTGTGTCGGAATCAGACCGACTAAAACCACACGGTGTGCCACTCTGCGCCTGTAATAGGAGGGATCCGGGAGCTGCTTTTATTAAAACATCCGGACCCCTCCTAGCGCCTGCCCGCAATTGTGCGGGCACCACCTTCGGGTACATTCTCTACTTAGGTGACCTCCTCGCGGCTGTCCATTATGACGGGTTGAGGGGAAAACTCGTCCCGTACACACGCAGCCACACTCAGAGCGGCATGAGGCGCTGGTAAGCGCGCCTCCGCCGTTCGGTTCGCCGGCGGCGAATGGGGTCCGAGTGGACATCATCCTCGGGGGCCCTCTCCGCCGCCTCCTTCTGCAAGATGACGTCTTCGCAGAAGGATGCGACCGCTTTAAAACATCTGTCACTACCGGCCATGGAGCGTATGACGGCCGGTAGCGAGAGATCCCCCCCGATAACTGCAATGAGGACCCGGCGCCGCGGCGCCCAAGCTGGACAAATTGCCAGCGTGTGCACTCGGCGTCAGTTCCCTCCTAGCGACCGAGTGCAGGTATTTCCCGAAGCAGCCGTCCCGGAAAGGACCTGCGTCAGCCGGAAGGAAAGGGTCCCGTGCTGTCGCCCTGCCCACTCGACGATGGCCTCACGCCACTCGCGTTTTTCTTTGAGCGGGGGCCGAAAGCCGCTAACCGCCCGGAACTCAGCCGTCCACCGATATACTTAGGCGAGCACTTTCACCTCCAAATCCCATGGGGGTGTTCCGGCCAACGCGCACGCCACCTCCGTCGATACAGTGCTTTAACCGCGTATGGCTCTAACCGCCAATATTCTCTGAGGGCGCCAGAGGCGTGCCTTGTTCTGGGCGGTCAGAGCCACCGCCCACACCGGTGCTCCGTACAGTGTCATTGACCGGACAACCCCCGTGTACAGCCGTCTTGCCGTGACGCTGGCTCCACCCAAATTAGGCAAAAGTCGCCCTAGGGCAGAAGCAGCGCCGACCAGCTTTGGAGCAAGCTGTCGGAAGTGCTCATCGAAGAGCCACCGCCCGTCAAGAATCAGGCCCAGATACTTACATGGAACAATAGGGCCTCCGTCTTGATCAATCTGACCTCCTGCGTCAATGATGGGCGTAAGATATGTCACAAAGGATAATAGGTAACTGCCCGTACCTCGACCCGGCCGAAACCCGTGCTGAGCATCAGTCAGTTGAGAGCTTACCTGTGCTTAGATGGACGAGTGCAATGCGGCTTCAAATAACTTAGCGAAGGTTGACAGTACCGCCACCGGTCTATAACCACTTACATCGTCACTCCCACTGCCTTTAGGGACCGGTATCACTCTCGTAATTTTCCAACGATCCGGGTAACGTCCCTCTCTTAAACACAGATTAAATATATCTAACAAAGGTTTACCAAGCACTCTGCCACAGTCCTTCACGATAATTGGTTGTATACCATCATTTCCCACTGAGTGCTTAGATTTAACCAACTACGCGCAGCTTGCGCACTTTGAGCCGGCCAACATGGGCCCGGGCAGCGCCCGCACTCGCTCCCACCGAGCGCTCTGCCTCATCCGGATCAAGCACGTTAGTTTAGTTATTTAGTCTTTAGGAAAGATGTTAATTTACGCTAGTAATATAAATATCATAAGTTATATTTTTATATATAGCGGAATATAATTAATTTCATTATTTTAAAATTTGACGTCTAGTAGTAGTAATTGTAATTAATGATTTCAGACATGTCATTATTTTCCAGGATGTAAACATGTCCTTACATGAACATTGATTTATGTGGACGTGTTTTGCAGACAAGCTCCACACTTTCAAGAAAGCTGTTCTGAGATTGTTGAAGCCTTTAGTAGTATCTGTTTACCTAATTGTGTTCTTTAATTATATTACTTAACTTTTAATTGTTTATTTTATTTCTGTTTAATTCATTACTCATTACTATTGGTGCATGTTGTGACACCTTAAAATGCCGTGCATTTTTAGTATAGGATTTAATGTAACAGCAACTGGTAGCCCTTACTAAATAAATAAATGTAAGTATACATGGTTCGAATGTCAGTACATTATTGTTTTGATATAGGGGCAGACAATCAGATGGGTCAGTTGTCGGTGAAGGACGGATGACCACCAATGGACACCTCTAACTGGAAACTCAAAAGCTCCTATGGATTTCACTGCAATGAGGGGTTTGGGCTCCAGTAACCTCAACTTTAATTCTGAAGGAAGGACATAGGCTTTTTACACTTTTTACTACGATGAGCCTGAACGAGTCCGCTGAGCCGCGGGCAAAAGCTTGTATTGCATATATCAGATAACATGAAGACACAAATAAAATACATAATTTCGATTTGAGGGGAATACCCGCCCTAAATAATCTAACAAAAAATCAAATCAGGTGATTACCGAATAAGATACCGTCTTCAGGCATATCAGAAGACCGTGATTTAAATTATCGCATCGAACATCGCATTACAAAAATAAAGATAGAACGAAGGAAACGCTTAATATTGTAAATTGCTGGAATTTGTTAGAAACATTTTATTATAGTTTAAAAATCAACCATAATGGCGCTAGTGTAAAATTCCTTCCGTTCTAGTTTTGAATCTAACTAGACAGTTAAGTTTATTTATATACATAGACTTAATGAGAAAAAATCGTCAATAATCATCCATCATGGATCTTGCCAATGAATCTTCTGAGATTCAACCTTGTACAGTGAGTGAAGCGTACGAAATAAAAATACAATTACTAGCGATCTGCTTTCAAAATAAAATAAAAATTCAATGGGTGCAAGATGATAAAAATTAAAGGGAGGGATCGCGTCTGGCACTACGTTATCGGGGCAGTAAGACCCGTTATGGTGCATTGGCTCGAGAGACATCATGGAACCCTCTCATATGATGCAGGTGAAGAAGTATAGGATGCTTCGAAGATCACCTGGGTCTGATCCGCAAGGAGCCAACGTCAGGGTGCCATCACTGCGATGGCTGGACCGTGGACCTGGCGCAACACGCTGGCAGAATGCTCGGTGTGGGTTGAGCAATGGCGTGGCCTCGTGGCGGCCATCAGAGTGGGAGTCCTCTCGCTTGGTAACATAATTGCATCCATGGTACGGAGCGAGAGTGCGTGGAACTCCGCCGTCTTCTTCTGCGAGCAGGTCTTGCGAAGGAGATGGGGGAGCGGGACCGGAAGAGGTTCAGAACTCTCCGGAAACGGGCCAGGTATCGCAGACGACTCAGGCGAAGGAGGTCGCAGAACGACCTCCATCCGCCATAAGCACAGGGCTGAGAGTGACAGGTGAGGACATATGTCACTCTAGTAGAAGCGGAAAAGTATGCTAATTTTTGTAATATATTATATCAGATGAGGTAAAATAAAAAGTATTTTCAATATTAGGATTATTACTGTTATGTTGTTAGTATTAATGTTATGTTAGAATACAGCTTTAATGAAATTTTGCAATAAAATAAACTCCTAACATTATATCTAAACTTAAAAGCCACTGTTGCAAACACTCAAGAGTATTATAAAAAATATCTATTCTAGGACAAAGTACCTGTCATGATAAAAGAACATTAGAACTAGAGTTGTAAAGAATCAAAATAAGATTTCAATTTATCGATAAAATGAAAATAGTAATAAAATAATTTAACTTTTCACTAAGTTGTTACCGCATACAACATGCTTTGGAATCTTTCAAAGAATGAAAAGCTTTGCCATATTTTAATTTTTTCTTAGAGGTCTGAATCAGCCATTTAAAATTAATGACATAATCAGAAACATTTAAAATGAATTCCTTTTTGATTATACTTAAGACTAGATAAAAATAATTACGATGATATATATTGGCATTCGACATCAAAGGTGGTGTCTCAACATCTCGACCCTCCCATACCGGCTGACGCAAGTGATCATTGGGAAAGGATGCTTCGGGGATCACCTGTGTCTGATCCGCAAGGAGCTAACGCCGGAGCGCCGCGTCCACGGTCCGGCTATCGGACCGTGGACGCGGCGCTCCACACGCTGGCAGAATGCCCGGCGTGATCAGGTCGAACCCTGGTCGTGACCTCGTGGCGGCCATCGGGGTGGGAGTTCTCTCACTCGGTAACATGATTGCGGCCATGGTGCGGAGTGAGAACGCGTGGAACTCCGCCGTCTCCTTCTGCGAGCTAGTTATGCTTGCGAAGGAGATGGCGGAGCGGGAACGGGAGTGGTTTACAACTCTCTCGGCCCACCAGCCCCGGGTACGGGACAGGTACCGCAGACGACTCAGGCGCCGGAGGTCGCAGGACTACCTCCGTCTTCCTAAGCGCAGGCCTAGGGTGACAGGTGAGGCCATCTGTCACCCTAGCAGTAGCAGGCCGAGGTGGTGGCGGGATGCGCTGCAGAGCGCGAGCTCTTTTTCGGAAGCACAAAGGGAACATGGAAGTTCCCACACATGATGGTGTCATCAACCCACCGTACAACAGATGTAATGTGGCAAAAGCACTTGTCAGTGCAAAAAATACCAGTACAGATTTCTGTTCTACTCTATGCCACTGTGGCAAAGGCCATCGAAATTTTCAGCCAAAGCACCGACACGTCAACTTGAAGCCATTTGTGGTATGATCAGCCAACTATTCACAGAACAGCCTCAGTACACGTCGGTAGAGTACTGGTCGAGGTGCAAACTCGTACGAGATTTTTCGCAAGTTTAAAGCCCTAGGCATTATGGTATCTACGGATGACTACTTCTAGTATAATTGTCAGAGTAAGATGATTTAGATTTAGCTATGCGCCTGTCACACTTTCAGATTTGGGCTTTGGCATCGTAATTTCAATACATATCTAGACGTGTTATCTACCATATATTTATTATTTTATACATATTTTAAAACCAATAAGACATGAGTAATAGTTTATCAATCGGAGATTTTGCAGCCCCGGATCTACTATTTTTTTTAAACCGGGACAGAAACTTAATAATAGCGCCCCCTCTCTCTAGCGTCTGAGATAAATTACTTAAAAAAAAACTTAAAATTTTATATATATAATGGTTTTCATTTTTTGTGATTAGGACATAATTTTTTTCTTATTTTAAACATTATATTATGATTTTGGCGCCCCCTGAACTGCCGCCCAAAGCGGGTGCTACGGTTTGCCACTCATTAGATCCGGGGATGACTGTTAATACTAACGCCGTCTGTTAGAAAACTAACGAATTAGTATCGGTATGTTACGTTGGAGTTTTTTTGGTTAATCATAAATCACATCATCATCACATCAACAGCCTATACTAGTCCACTGCTGGACATAGGCCTCTCCTTAGAAAGGAGGTTTTGGCCTACTATACCACGCTGGCCAGACGGGTTGGTATACTTCGTTTCAGTGAGTATTTAGTAATCAATAGCAATAAAGCACCGTTTTTTGCTAGTTTATGATGAGTTATTTTTTCTCAACAGAAATAAAAATTTAAGAGTGAAAGATAAGAAGAAAATAGGTTTTCTATTTTTTTTTTAATTCATCGATACTTTTTATCTACAACTCTAGCTGAAACGAAGTATACAAGGACTCATTCACTTGCCGATTTATAAATTGCGAATTTTCGGTTTTGGACTGGTGATTCGTAACCTTGGACTGTAAGGACAGCAGTGCAAAGCAGGTTCAGGGCCCAAAACAGTGCAGTGAAATATTAAAGGAATACATTCAATACATAGTAAGTAATTAAACACTTTTGATTTATTGTTGTAAAAACTCGAAAGCGCGGCAAAGAAATATAGCCATTACTTTGATTTTTTTTTAAATGCAGTCGTATGTAATTGACTAATTTATAATATATTATGTGAAATAGCTTTATAAACGATTCACTTCTTACATGTTTCATTTCAAGTTTAAGTTATAAAGCTACCTACACTTTGGCAATCGACCTATTATTCCATGAATAATTTTAATAATAATATATTAAATAATATTTTAATAATTTTAATATAAAATTTATAATAAAAGGTGATGGGTCAATAGATATTTTACTAGGTATTAGATGTACAACTTATTTTTAGATTCCGTAATATCAAACATGTAACTTTATTTTATATTAGTGACAAATCTAATTAAAAGTTAAATAAATAACTAGAAAACTTTATTTACAAGTTAATTTAAATAAAATATTTTAGAAGTGGCCAATATAATAAATAAAATTATTACTTTTACGGTGTAGAAAATTGTGATTGTTTTGTCGTCTAAAATGGCGACAGGTTCTAGAACTTTAATTTTTACACTTATCGATAACTTAAATTTTTTAAGCCCTTTATAACTAAAGTGACGTAATAACTAAGAATTACATTATTAATATCCCTAGTATATCTACTTATTTATTATAAAGATAGGTGTCAAACTTTTTCATTCCATTGATAATTTCAGTTTAGTACTTTAAAGTTCCAATCTGTTTAAAACAAATGGGATTGGTACAATTCTGGTGTTCTATGGTTTACCGAAGCCGGATTTATTCGATTTGATCATAGTTTCAAACTTTTGCGTTCCATCGATAATATCAGTTTAGTACTTTAAAGTTCTAATCTGTTTAAAACAAATGGGATTGGTACAATTCTGGTGTTCTATGGTTTACAGAAGCCGCATTTATTCGTTCTGATCATAGAGTTATATTTACGTAGGGCTGCCATCTCTAAAACCTGCCCCCCAGGACCGGAAGCGTAAGTTCCCCGGATTTTGGAGCTTTTACCCCGAACATTTCAGTTGTTTTTTCATTCACTTACATCTTGATTAAAATATATTTTACTCCGTACTTGATAGAAGAAAACTTAAATTTTAAGCCTCTTTTGTTGCATAAAATCGTGTGTTTAATCGTTCTTGTGACGAAAAGTGAGTAATTTTGCTTTATTTTTTAACCTTCTTAGGTATTAAATAAAAGATAAACTAACCCAATATTAGTTACTCAGTTAATGAAATTAAATGAAAACTTGTTTAACAAGGGCAGCGCGTGCGGTGAAATACCTAACCCATAGCTTTTATTTACGTAAATTATGGGAACGGAATCTGATCGAAAACCGGGTCTTTTATTGTAGTCCGGACTACCATTTAAACCTCTCGTCTGGACGTCTCCAAACTGTCTTCCAAACAACAAATCCGGGGAAACCCAGTCCTATATATACGTAGTACATTATAACTCAGTGGTCAAAACGAATACAATTTCCGGTGTCCGGCACCCATAATGATCCGTAGCCGTAGGCTGTGTTCGTATATCTCTTTCTTTCCGTTCCTATGTTCTTTATTAAATTAATATTTAAGCTAAATGTAAATAGTAGGTATTCGTTGGACAATGAGGGGCTGGTTGAAATAAAGCTCTTGGCGTGTGCTTAGCACCTTTTGTTAAGTTAATCTGTGCTTGTATTATATCAAAATGGGTTATAGTCAGAATATGGAATTAACTGATTAGGTACATGTTATGCAAGTTCTTTAGGTACAATAGCGTGTCTGTGTATGATACACAGTTGAATACGAAAGTTAATTTATTCAATTTAGTTACTTAGTTTGGTAGGTATTCTACAGGTACAACTTTATCTGATCTATACATTTGTTCAAATAAGACTATAGGTATGTAGATCATTACACTTCACTTAAATCAAGAGATCAATTTTAAAGTTTTGTTATCTGTGTTTATCGGGTCCGTGTGGTACTGATCTTCACGGAATATTCAATATCGGATATTTGATATTATATCATCATCAACAGCCTTTAATAGTCCACTGCTGGACATCGGCTTTTCCTTAAGGGCGCTCATAGAGTAACACAGGCCACCGGCGCACCGGAGCGTGTTGCTCTATGAGGGCGCTCTACATTTACTTGAGAATCTCGCAAGAAACGTGAATGTGGAACCGATTCGCATACTATCCGCAGGCTCTCGCATTGTTCTCTGTTTTTTGTTTCGTTCTCTGTGTTTCAGTTCACGAGAAATTCCAGGAGAAGGGCCACATACCTTTTTTCTGGCAACTAAACATTTCTGGAATAAAAACATATCAAGGATGTTTTTTCCCCTCTAATTTAATAAAAGAAATACATGTTAAATTTGGAAAAAATAACTTAAGTCTCACAGACCCCACCAAGTACAATCTCATGTAACTTTTGCCATCAGCTGGCCAAGTTTTAAAAATATAGTGTCAGAATTTAATAAAACCAGTTATCAAAAGTAATCGATTTCGAGAAAATGAAGTGCAACGTCATCCTACGATAGCTGTTTATCGTACCCTTATCTAACAATGTAGCCAGTTTATACAACTATCTTTAGCCCTACCAGTCGGGGATTCCCAGAATTGATTGTTGGCTCGCCGCAACAGTACCTACATACATATTATAGATAAATTAACCCAGACACAGAACAAGTCATCTTACTCCTCACACAATTATTAAATTTATTCTGGGTGGGAATCGAACCCACGACCTCTGGCTAGCATTAAGGATCACTCACCACTAGACTACACCAACAGAGTAAACCAATGATTTTCTAAATGTCGTTTAGCTGATGAATTGTTTAAATTAGAATCGAGACTTGAAGTTTGGTCATCATCCCAGAATCCATCAAATATAAAGATTATGATGTAAGTTCTTTGTGAAAAGGATATTGATTATTTTGGAGCAACTTTATAGTTGTGAATTTACCTTTATAAACACTAAGAAGTGCTACAGTATTAAGTGTTTATTCTAACATCAACAGTGTTTGAGAGGGCACTGATAGACATACTCGTAGATCTCTCCTTGGAAACAAGGTTTAGGCCTACTATACCACGCTGGCCTGGCTACATTGTTAGAAAAGGATACGATACACATCTATATAGTTATATACTTGATAAGGCAAGGCGTAAGCACGCATGCGATTATAAGCGCCAACAGTCTATTCCGGGAATTCCCCTTTAAGTGCCGAGAGCTATTTTAGTATAGTACGTTCTTTCTTATAAATAAATATTTACAATATAATTATATCCTGGAACATATTACACAGCGCTGTCTAGACACATGCTAAGCATGGCGTAGGTATACCATGATTTTTATAAATACGAACATATTATGCATAGAAACACCTAAACATGATAAAAATTGCACCAAGCGGTAGTAATGGGCATTAATGCTAATTGGATTTAATTTAATTAATTGTAAATTCTTATGTCAGAGCATTGCATTAGCAATTAACATGCTAATATTATTTGCTAATGTTGCAATTTCGTACCTACGAGAAGAGCAAATGAAAAACTATCGTAACTTGTAGGTTATGTATATCACTAAGTACTAATTTTACATAAATAACTTATTTTGATTATATTTTAACTCATTGCGATTTTCGCGATCAGCAGTGGCTACTATTTTATTTTCTTCAACATTATTACAGAAATGATGCAATATAGGGTTTATTCGCGATATGTTAGTCTTCGTCAATTCGTCACTTAATACTATCTATTTACAAACAATATCCTTATCTATTCACAAAATACCTACCTAGTAACAACGGACACGTTCAAAACTTAAAAAACCTATACCTACTCTATAATTAAACTTCTTACTAACAAATACTATATAGGTATTCCTTCGCCCCTAGGCCGTCGCCAGAGATGGAGGGTGTCGCTGGAGAGTCGAGCGGCGGGATGCGGAGATGGAGCTCCAATAATGGAACCACATCTCCGTATCCTCCAGGCGAGCTTGGGTCACAGTGCCGATGCTCAGAATCTTCTGCTCCAGAGTATGGCACAGTGGTCCATCAACATCGTCGCTGTCGCTGAGCCATGTGTCCATCGGTTTCTCGGGACTGCCTGGGAGACTGACTTGGATGGCTCGGCGGCACTGGTGCACGGCACCGCCACCGCCACCCTTCCAAGAGGGTGGGGTTGCGTAGCGGCGGTGGTTGGGAATATAGCACTTGTGGCTGCTTATTTCACGCCAAACCGAGACATAACTGAGTACGAGCAATGGTTTGCTCAGTTGGCAGTCGTCATCGATGCCTATCGTCCCAACCCGATTCTGGTGCTAGGAGACTTCAACGCCCACGGAAAAAAAAGGGGACTTCAACGCCTGGTCAGAGACCTGGGGTTCCCGGCGCACGAAGCCGACGGGTAGGGCACTGTAGAACCGGGCCGAAAGATTCGGCCTAGTTGTCCTAAACCGGGGGGCCGTGGCCACCCTCGTGACAAGGTGGCAGCTCGATCGTGGACATCTCGTTCGCGTGCCCCTCGCTAGCGCGTCATGTTCAGGGCTGGCACGTCGTTGTGGGGGAGGAGACGGGTTTGGATCACCAATATATTCGGTTCGATGTCTCCGCTCTTACAAGCGACGCGGACAGTCAGACCGACTCAACCTGAACCGCGTTAGGCACACAAGCGCTTAGATTGAGAGCTCCTCCTGGAAGCCGCTATAGTACAGGCCTGGGCCTCTGCGCCGGATAGGCCTGTCGACGTAGATGTTGAGGCACAGTGGTTCCGGGAGGCCATGACCCGCCTCTGCGATGCGGCGATGCCTAAGGTTAAACCCAATACTGCGAGGCGCCACGTCTACTGCTGGTCCGGTTAAGATCCCGGGTTCCGCGGAAGGCGTCGCCGCTCGATTAGCGGGATACAGGGTTGCCAAGAGTACGCTTCAGGCAGCAATAAAGCGGCCCAAAAGCGATGCCCGCCGCGAGTTTCTGGAGACACTGCTTGAAGAGGTTGTCGGCTCCCTGTTCCCATTGCGTGTGGTGGAACACAACCTACCACAGATGACTCCGGCGGTCTAGACGCCTAACATGAATGACGAGTACGTACGAGGTCACTTGGGTGGAATTAAGGGTAGTGGTGCTACCCCTTAAAGCCAAAAACACCGCCCCAGGACCTGATGGCATTCCAGGCCGAGCCTGGCCTGAGACAACGAATCTCTCGAGCCCCGACTGAGAGGGTTCTTCAGCGCAAGCCTCGAGCGGGGCCAGTTTCTGAAATTGTGGAGGACGTTGAAACTGGTCCTCATCCGAAATGAGGGGCGCCCGGCGAACTCACCATCCGCCTACCAGCCCATAGTGTTGCTTGATGAGGTGTACAAACTCTTCGAAAGAGTGATTGCCAGGCGCCTCGTCAAGCATCTGAGTACAGTTTCCGTCAGGGGCGCTCCACGGTGGATGCGATCATGCGCGTGAGAGCTCGAGCGGAGGGAGCAGTTTCCCGGGGCGAAGTGGTGTTGGCGGTGTCCTTGGACATGCGTGAATGCGTAAAATAGAAACACCTAAGTTTCTTGTTTATACCTACTTAATTTTTTTTTTATTGATTCTCGTCTCCTATTGTTCGTAGCGTGATGTTACATTATTATATGCTACTAGCTCTTGCCCGCGGCTCCACCCGCGTGTATGTCAGTCAGCTAGGTAAAAGTAGCGTGTATGTCAGTTGGCTAGGTAAAAGTAGCCTATGTCCTTAATCAAGAATCTCCATGCCCATTTTCATTAAAATCGGTTCGGCAGTTTAGCTGTGAAAGCTGAACAGACAGACTGAGTTACTTTGGCATTTATGTTAGTAGGGATAGCCTTCCTCGATAAATGGGCTATCCAACACCGTAATCGAATCGATCCAGTAGTTCTTGAGATTAGCGCGTTCAACCAAAGAAACTGTTCAGCTTTATAATGTTAGCATTGATATAAAATAATAGCGGCAATAGAAAATTTCGGGTATCGATTGACTGCACGGATGGCGTAGTGGTTTAAGCGGTCGCCACGCCACTTACTACTACGCTAAGTGTTGTGGGTTCGATCCCCACATGGGACGACACTTTGTGTGATCCATAAATTGTTGTTCTGGATCTGGGTGTTCTTTGTGTCCGTTTCAAGCATATTTGTAAAGTCCCCCGCGACACAGGATATATTCCTAATGCGGGAGTTGTCTTTTTATAGAATTAAAAAAAAACAGAATATGAGAGCCTGCTGAAAGACAAACGTTAACGTTAACGTTAAAACGTTGAAAATATATCTTGCTAAAATTTATAGTCTAAAGTGCATTAGAGGCGGCCCTCATGAACCCTGCAAGTACTTTATGATTTTTAAGTAGTCATTTATTAGTTTACAGTTACCCAAAATGCGGATGACTTGTTTATGGAACAACATCAGAGAAGAAGAAGCACAAACGAAATGTTTGAAAAACTGTTTCGTGGTCATCGATGGGCAAAATTTTTTCTTTAATACTTATAGACAAAGCAAGCTGCCTTTTGTGTTTGGTGCGGAAGCTGACGAATATGCAAAGTATCTAAAAGAAAAACTAGCAATATTTAAAAAGGCAAACATAGAATGTTACATCGTCTTTAAAGGTAGCGACACTGACATAGATGATAAAATACGAAAACTTTGGTTAACAACTTTCGATTTTGGAAAAAATTATCATTTTTCATCTCCTGTTTTAATGAAAGAAATATACAAACAAGTACTTGAAGAACTAGGCATTAAGTACGCTACAAGCGTAATGGAGTCTAAGGACGACTGTGTTGCGCTTGCGCAAGTATTGCAATGTCCCGTGCTAAGTGAGGATAAAGAATTCTATTTTAAAGCTGCCCCTTATATACCGTATCGAACACTGGAGTATATACCCTCAGACAGCTATATAGCATGTAAGCAATACCATATAAATGAATTATTCCAAAAATATTTATTAACAGTAAAAAAAATTGCAATAGTCTTAGCTTTGTCAGACGTAACTATCTTTCCCAATAATTATTTTAATAGTCTTATGAAAAAATGGCACTTTACTGGACATAACCTACCCAATCAGTTACTACAAATGCTAAAATATATTTCAGAACACGGTGAACTAGAAGTTTTGAATAGTATTTTAAATGTTTTTATAAGTAAATCAGAAAAAGAAAAATTCATGTCTCAGATAGAGGTTTTGGAAAAAGCAAACAAGAGTGACAATGTTGTTGTAAATTATTTGTTGAATCTACCATCGATTCGTGATTCACTATGGTTTGAAACAGGGGTGGCAAACCAGAAAATTGCCACTGACTACGTCTATCTGTACAAACACAAAATGATCATGGGCTCCTGGGCCATAGAGAAAAATGATACCGTAGACAGTATCATGTTATCTATAGATATAATAAAGTATGGGTACAATTTGTTGACGAATTTCGAACCATCTCAAATCACCGTATATCAAAGTACTAAAAAGTATGTACAAGTTAACACCGTATCTGACATTGCAAAGCCAATATACCATTGCAGCGAATCGGTGTTTGAAAATGGCTGGAAAAAGATAAAAGATTTAAAATTATTCGAGCATTTCTTGGTTCAAAATAACATAAACATTGTTCTTCTTGACGAGTTGCCCGAAGATGTTAAAATGCTTGTTATTGCTTTGATATACTTCGCTCGTAAAAAGATTTCAGAAAACATTCAGGTAACGAAGGAGGTTTACTGTTTTATTATATCATATGTGATGTTAAATGCAGTATTTGATGAACCACAATCAGCTTCAGAGATACGAAATAGTATTACTGAAAAGGATTTTAACACTGCAAAGAATATCACGACAAAGGAAAAAAAATATTTTGTTTATGATAACGATGAGGCCAAGAGAATATTTAATGAAAATACCTTAAAAACTTTGGCTGAAATTCAATATTGTTTATTGCACATGAACTATTTGAATACATTATGTGGGTCACCGTTCATGAAAACGAGATTCCACAAAACGTTCAATGGTACCTTTATATACAAACTGTTGAAGGATATGAACGGTCGCGATGAAAAAGAGTTCATCGGAGAACTGTTTAAAACAGCGCCATCTGTTTTAACATTTGTGAACAAGCTGATAAGTACATACGAGAAGCTTCTTTAAAGAGGCAGACTTTATTTTTAGTCTGCCTCTTTATTATTATTCAATGTAGGTACGTTAATTTTATTATAATTCTCCAAAGTTGTTTTCAACCAAAAGTTGTTGTCAGCCAACTAGCTAGGTTTTATCATTAGTTATAAAATAAATGTGGATGAGGAATATATTGTTGATTTATGATAGTTTATTTTGTATTATTATAGCCTTAGGCATCCTAACGAGACAAAGTTAATAAAAAATATTTTTGTAGCTCTTTTACTGCGTTGTGTTGTACTTAGATACATGTAATTAGTGCCATTCGATTTTTGACATTTTTACAATATTTAGCTTTTATTACTATCTGAAGAAATATGTCATATAGGGTTTTTTGATATCCAACGTAAACTTAATATATTTTTCCGGCTTGGAATTCCCTTTTTTTTATTATTTTGCTTACACGAGCATCTTCACATAAGCATTTTATTGTCTAATGTTTAAAAATATCAAATTGATCAAAACTGAATATTTTGGTATAGATAGTTCAACTCAGTTGTGAGCGCGGCCCTATGTGTGCGTGGGCTTGTAAATATACAACTTTCATTCGTGCGGCAGTCGTCGTCCGACTGAGTAACAAGCATTTTAACACAACTGAGTTGAACTATCTATACCTATTACTTACCACAACTAATTAAGTGTACCTACCGTCTATCAATGTACCACAACATTTAATAAATAATTAAAAAATATTTAATTGTTTTCTTTTTCGTTATAAATAGACTAAAGAGTAACATAGGCCATAGGTAATATATTAGTTTCACTTTTAAAGAGAAATATTCCAGAAAGTTTTTATGTTTGGAGTGGGAATCCACTGGTGAATACCAAGAGCGAGTTTAAGTTTTCGGTCTTCGATCAAACCCATGTCAGCTGTACCTGTAAAATTTCAGCGTAGTACTTACAATTAAACAAGTCAAAATTAACTATTATACTAATTATATAAAACTTATATATAATTATACTATACTATAAAAGTCATTAGGAAGTTGTTGGATATCTACACAGACACAAGGGCAAGGGCAAGTGATACGATCGCCGGTTCGCTATGCACTCATTGAGTTATAGTACCTACGGTAGTACATATATCTCAATGTATGCACTGGTTTATTCTAGAAAAACAATACAACGGCCGGCGGCGGCACCGCGGCGTGCGCGGGGAAGGGCGCGCCAACATACATACTCGTATTTAACATTCCTCCCCTTATTACAGTATTTAACTACTTCAATAACACAAAATATCTAAAAGTAATTTTTATAACAAACTTTTGGACTTCTCCGTAATGACCTCCTTGGTACTTGTATCGGACTCGACGGGGAACTTTGTATCGGAGTCTCACTCGTTTTTTTTTGTCAGGGGGGGCAGACGAGCAGACGGGTCACCTGAATGAAACTGACCATCGCCGCCCATGAACATCTGCAACACAGGAGTCACAAACGCGATGCCGGTTACAAAAAAGTGATCGCGTATATACTAGGTACCAGTAGTGCGCGTATGGGCCGGTTCGACCGGAGAGATACCTCGGAAAACCGGTGTCAAGGCATTCTTTAGGTTAGCGCAAACCCAGCCTACTCCTCAACTCTGTAGAGCGGGGAAACCTTACAAAGAGCGACAACACATATTTGTCTCTTGAGTTGATTTTTTCTGCCTACTTTAAGGAAGGAAGTCCTACCCATTTTATATTTGTTGTACTGCTTTTCCTCAATAATATTTAAGTATATAGGATAACTAGAGAGAAGGAAAACTTGAAACAAACCTTTTTTTTTTTTTTTTTTAACGTGTGGAAATCCCCTCGGACCGTCACCCCTCCGGGGTTTGCGGCGGGGTGGTGTGTCGGACTCGGACCGACTAAAACCACACGGTGTGCCACTCTGCGCCTGTAACAGGAGGGATCCGGGAACAGCTGTTGTTAAGACATCCGGACCCCTCCTAGCGCCAGCCCGCTCCTGGTGCGGGCTCCGTCTCAATATTTTTTCCTCTCTTTAGGCGACGTCCGGCACACGCGGACGCCGCCCCCTCGCGGCTGGCCAAACCAATGCGGGTGGAACCGTGCCCGGAAAGCACCTGCGTCAGCCGGAAGGAAAGGGTCCCGTGCTGCCGCCCTGCCCGGAAAGTACCTGCACTCGGTCGCTAGGAGGGAACTGAGTCCCGCCTGCCACCACTGCGACTGCAGTGAGGACTCGGCCCAGCACACGCTGGCGGTCTGCCCCGCATGGGCGGCGCAGCGCCGGGCCCTCACTGCAGTCATCGGAGTGGATCTCTCGCTACCGGCCGTAGTACGCTCCATGGCCGGTAGCGACAGTTGTTTTACCGCGGTCGCAACCTTCTGCGAGGTAGTAATCTCGCGGAAGGAGGCGACGGAGAGGGCCCGGGAGGACGACCTCCACTCGGACCCGATCCGCCGCCGGCGAACCGGGCGGCGGAGGCCCGCCTATCACAGCCTCATGCCGCCCTGAGTGTGGCCGCGGGTGGACGGGGTGGGTTTCCCCTCCACCCGCATTGGTTTGGCCAGCCGCGAGGGGGCGGCGTCCGCGTGTGCCGGACGTCGCCTAAAGAGAGGAAAAAATATTGAGACGGAGCCCGCACCAGGAGCGGGCTGGCGCTAGGAGGGGTCCGGATGTCTTAACAACAGCTGTTCCCGGATCCCTCCTGTTACAGGCGCAGAGTGGCACACCGTGTGGTTTTAGTCGGTCCGAGTCCGACACACCACCCCGCCGCAAACCCCGGAGGGGTGACGGTCCGAGGGGATTTCCACACGTTAAAAAAAAAAAAAAAAAAGGTTTGTTTCAAGTTTTCCTTCTCTCTAGTTATCCTATATACTTAAATATTATTGAGGAAAAGCAGTACAACAAATATAAAATGGGTAGGACTTCCTTCCTTAAAGTAGGCAGAAAAAATCAACTCAAGAGACAAATATGTGTTGTCGCTCTTTGTAAGGTTTCCCCGCTCTACAGAGTTGAGGAGTAGGCTGGGTTTGCGCTAACCTAACTCGCTCGACGAAAAGCTATGAAAGAATGCCTTGACACCGGTTTTCCGAGGTATCTCTCCCTACCTACCTAGTATATACGCGATCACTTTTTTGTAACCGGCATCGCGTTTGTGACTCCTGTGTTGCAGATGTTCATGGGCGGCGATGGTCAGTTTCATTCAGGTGACCCGTCTGCTCGTCTGCCCCCCCTGACAAAAAAAAACGAGTGAGACTCCGATACAAAGTTCCCCGTCGAGTCCGATACAAGTACCAAGGAGGTCATTACGGAGAAGTCCAAAAGTTTGTTATAAAAATTACTTTTAGATATTTTGTGTTATTGAAGTAGTTAAATACTGTAATAAGGGGAGGAATGTTAAATACGAGTATGTATGTTGGCGCGCCCTTCCCCGCGCACGCCGCGGTGCCGCCGCCGGCCGTTGTATTGTTTTTCTAGAATAAACCAGTGCATACATTGAGATATATGTACTACCGTAGGTACTATAACTCAATGAGTGCATAGCGAACCGGCGATCGTATCACTTGCCCTTGCCCTTGTGTCTGTGTAGATATCCAACAACTTCCTAATGACTTTTATAGTATAGTATAATTATATATAAGTTTTATATAATTAGTATAATAGTTAATTTTGACTTGTTTAATTGTAAGTACTACGCTGAAATTTTACAGGTACAGCTGACATGGGTTTGATCGAAGACCGAAAACTTAAACTCGCTCTTGGTATTCACCAGTGGATTCCCACTCCAAACATAAAAACTTTCTGGAATATTTCTCTTTAAAAGTGAAACTAATATATTACCTATGGCCTATGTTACTCTTTAGTCTATTTATAACGAAAAAGAAAACAATTAAATATTTTTTAATTATTTATTAAATGTTGTGGTACATTGATAGACGGTAGGTACACTTAATTAGTTGTGGTAAGTAATAGGTATAGATAGTTCAACTCAGTTGTGTTAAAATGCTTGTTACTCAGTCGGACGACGACTGCCGCACGAATGAAAGTTGTATATTTACAAGCCCACGCACACATAGGGCCGCGCTCACAACTGAGTTGAACTATCTATACCAAAATATTCAGTTTTGATCAATTTGATATTTTTAAACATTAGACAATAAAATGCTTATGTGAAGATGCTCGTGTAAGCAAAATAATAAAAAAAAGGGAATTCCAAGCCGGAAAAATATATTAAGTTTACGTTGGATATCAAAAAACCCTATATGACATATTTCTTCAGATAGTAATAAAAGCTAAATATTGTAAAAATGTCAAAAATCGAATGGCACTAATTACATGTATCTAAGTACAACACAACGCAGTAAAAGAGCTACAAAAATATTTTTTATTAACTTTGTCTCGTTAGGATGCCTAAGGCTATAATAATACAAAATAAACTATCATAAATCAACAATATATTCCTCATCCACATTTATTTTATAACTAATGATAAAACCTAGCTAGTTGGCTGACAACAACTTTTGGTTGAAAACAACTTTGGAGAATTATAATAAAATTAACGTACCTACATTGAATAATAATAAAGAGGCACACTAAAAATAAAGTCTGCCTCTTTAAAGAAGCTTCTCGTATGTACTTATCAGCTTGTTCACAAATGTTAAAACAGATGGCGCTGTTTTAAACAGTTCTCCGATGAACTCTTTTTCATCGCGACCGTTCATATCCTTCAACAGTTTGTATATAAAGGTACCATTGAACGTTTTGTGGAATCTCGTTTTCATGAACGGTGACCCACATAATGTATTCAAATAGTTCATGTGCAATAAACAATATTGAATTTCAGCCAAAGTTTTTAAGGTATTTTCATTAAATATTCTCTTGGCCTCATCGTTATCATAAACAAAATATTTTTTTTCCTTTGTCGTGATATTCTTTGCAGTGTTAAAATCCTTTTCAGTAATACTATTTCGTATCTCTGAAGCTGATTGTGGTTCATCAAATACTGCATTTAACATCACATATGATATAATAAAACAGTAAACCTCCTTCGTTACCTGAATGTTTTCTGAAATCTTTTTACGAGCGAAGTATATCAAAGCAATAACAAGCATTTTAACATCTTCGGGCAACTCGTCAAGAAGAACAATGTTTATGTTATTTTGAACCAAGAAATGCTCGAATAATTTTAAATCTTTTATCTTTTTCCAGCCATTTTCAAACACCGATTCGCTGCAATGGTATATTGGCTTTGCAATGTCAGATACGGTGTTAACTTGTACATACTTTTTAGTACTTTGATATACGGTGATTTGAGATGGTTCGAAATTCGTCAACAAATTGTACCCATACTTTATTATATCTATAGATAACATGATACTGTCTACGGTATCATTTTTCTCTATGGCCCAGGAGCCCATGATCATTTTGTGTTTGTACAGATAGACGTAGTCAGTGGCAATTTTCTGGTTTGCCACCCCTGTTTCAAACCATAGTGAATCACGAATCGATGGTAGATTCAACAAATAATTTACAACAACATTGTCACTCTTGTTTGCTTTTTCCAAAACCTCTATCTGAGACATGAATTTTTCTTTTTCTGATTTACTTATAAAAACATTTAAAATACTATTCAAAACTTCTAGTTCACCGTGTTCTGAAATATATTTTAGCATTTGTAGTAACTGATTGGGTAGGTTCTGTCCAGTAAAGTGCCATTTTTTCATAAGACTAGGTTCTGTCCAGTAAAGTGTCATTTTTTCATATTACCCTCTGAGGGCGCCAGAGGCGTACCCTATTCTGGGCGGTCAGAGCCGCCGCCCACACCGGTGCACCGTACAGTGCCATTGACCGGACAACCCCCGTGTACAGCCGTCTTGTCGCGACGCTGGGTCCACCCATATTGGGCAAAAGTCGCCCTAGGGCAGACGCAGCGCCGACCAGCTTTGGAGCAAGCTGTCGGAAGTGCTCGTCGAAGAGCCACCTCCCGTCGAGGATCAGGCCCAGATATTTCATCTGGGCCCGAACCGGTACGAGGACCGAGTTGACCACGATTGAGGCGCCAGGGGGTGGACCACGACGGGGCCCATGAAATAACAGGGCCTCCGTCTTATCTAGGGCCACCCGTAAGCCCAGCGCCTCAATGCGCCCGACCACCAGGGAGACTCCCCCTGTGGCCAGGCGCGCCGCCTCTTGGAAGTTTGCCCCCCGGGCTGTCACCAGGGTATCGTCTGCGTAACAGATTACACCCAGCCCGGGGGGGAAATCGGCGCGAAGGGCCCAGTCGTACCCTATGTTCCACAAGAGGGGTCCAAGAACAGACCCCTGTGGAACACCGCACGACATGGGCCGACACCTCAAATTACCTTCTCGGTCCTCGTACACGACGGTACGCTCCTCTAAATAGTCTGCCACTAGCCGCCTCAGGTACTTTGGCACCCCATGATAGTGGAGTGCTTCCCTGATGCAGCTGAATGGCAGACTATTGAATGCGTTGGCGATGTCTAATGACACCGCCAACAGCACGCCGCCACAGCTCACGGCCTCTTCGGTCACGGCTCTCAGGCGCAACACGGCGTCGACTGTCGAACGCCCCGCCCGAAAACCAAATTGGGCGTCCGACAGATCGGGGCCCACCTCGCAGAGAAAGAAGGGCAGCACGATGGGCCTATAGGCCGCGACCGAATCGGCAGGCCGTCCCGGCTTCCTTAATAGGACCAGCTTCCCGCTCTTCCAGCACTCAGGGAAGCGTCCCGACGCCAAGCTAGCGTCGAACACCTCCCCGAGGCGGTCTGCCATGTGGTTGAGGGCCAGGGCCAGCACTCGGGCCGGTACCCCGTCTGGCCCAGGGGCGGTGTTCTTGGAACGGATCCGTAGAACAGCCGCCCCTACCTCCGAATCCCGGACGGGCGGAACATTATCCTCCCCGTGCTCCCCGTCGTCTCCGGCCAAGGAGGCCATCGCCGGGGGAGTGTGTTCCGCTCGTTGTGGGAAAAGGCCCTCAACCACTTCTCGCAGGAAGCTGGGCTGGAGAGTCTCCGTAAGGGGGGGGGGGGCCCCCGCGCGGAGCTTTTGTCTCACCGCGCGGTAAGGGCGACCCCAGGGGTCACGATTAAGACCCTCCAGCATCTCCTGTCTCTTTTCTTCTTTGGCGCGGCTAATGGCCAGCTTCAGAGTTTTCCGCGCCTGTCGGTACTCCTCATGAAGCCGGTCCTCCTCACCGTCTCCACGGTGACGCCGCCGACTGCGCGTGTAGGACCTCCGGGCACGTGTACAGGCCGCACGGAGGTCCGCCAGTTCCTGGGACCACCAGTAGACCTCCTTCCTTGGAGGCCGACGACCTCGAATGCGGGGCATGGCCGCATCGCAGATATGCGTAATCGCATCGCGAAAGCGACCAGCCCCCACGTCGACCTCCTCGGTCGGTTCAGTCTGGCAACAGCCCACCGCGGAAAGCGGGATAAACGCCGCGCCACGTGACCCCTACTGGAGTCCTGGGTCCGGGAGAGCTCAAATCGGATATACAGATGATCCGAGAGCGTCTCAACCTCTTCCAGGACACGCCAGTTCCTTACTCGTGCGGCGAGGGCAGGGGTAGCGAACGAGAGGTCCACTATCGACCCCCCCTGCTGTCGCAAGCACGTGTTGGTGGAGCCTCTGTTGAGAAGACAGAGGCCCACCGAGGCCGCCCACTCCTCTACGGCCTCGCCCCTTGCGTCCGTCCTGGGGGAACCCCACGCAATGGACTTTGCGTTGAAGTCCCCCAGCACAAGGACGTGCCCAGACGCTAGTCGCCGTATCGAGGTCTCCAAGCTGGTTAGGAAAACCTCGACGTCGTTCAAACTCCGGTTGGGGGAGAAATAAACACCATATATGGTGATCCCCCCCCACTCGACGGCAACATATCCAGTGCCCTTGTCTCTTAGCGACAAGGGCGGGGAATGAGCCGTCGTGGAACCGACGACTGCCACGGAGCCGTCCCAGTCACCCATCCAGTTTGGACGGGGAGGGACAGAATAGGGCTCCGCGACTACGGCAACACCTATCGATCACTGTGCCATGGTTTGCAGGAAGAGATCCTGCGCCGCGGCACAGTGGTTCAGGTTCGTCTGGACCAGGAGGCTGGAGACCCGATCCATTACTGGATCGTCTCTACAGCCTCCTCCATGGGCGACGACGTCGACGCACGAACTACATCGGAGGCAGCCTGGGTCGACTGGCTAGCCCCCGATGCTTGCTGAGAGTTGCGGGGAGGCTTGCAGCCCCCCTGCCCCATCTGGTGATTGGCGGGCTTGTTACCCGCCGCACACACCGGGCAGTGAGGAGCGGCAGAGCATTCCACCGCCACATGCCCCGGTCGACCACAGCGGAAACATAGTCCGCTGCAGTCGAAGCAGCTTTGGCACTTGACGCGCGTGTGCCCCGATGCTAGGCATTTGTAACACCTCATCGGTCTCGCCGCCAGGACTGTGATCCTAGCGCTCACGAAACCGATGAGCAGCCTGCCGGCGTCAGCCAATACTTTGGCCGACGCTACGGGACAGCTGACCCACACGGCGCCAAGCCCCCCTGGACCGGGGCGGATGGTGCCGACCCTGACGTTGTCCGCGCTGCACCCCGTCTTCTCCCGGATTACAGCGCGGACATCTTCGGCCGTCACAGAGTCGTCCAGGCCCGAGATGCGCAGCTCCGCGCACTTGGTAGGCCTGGCGATCTTGACACCATCTGTGGTCGCGAATAAACCCCGCAGCCTCTCAGCGAAAGTGTCCGCCGTCTTGGCGCCTTCAGCCCCTGGGAACTCGAGAACTCGAGCTCCCGTTTGGGTGAGGCGCATCTTGACCCCCACCGTCCCAAAGTCGTTGGCGAGGCTGTCCCGGGCCTTTTTAAAAACGGCCGCGTAGGACAGCCCGCCGTCAGCCGCCTCCGGGGACACGGTCACCACTACGGCCGCGGTTTTGGGCGGCTGCAGCTTCCGCGGCCTCTTTGCAGAGGCCGTTGCCACCGGTGGCGAAGGCTGGGCTTGGGCTGCTTTTTGGGCAGTCTTTCTGGCCCGCCTTCGGGACTTCTTGGATCCTCTCGCCTCCTGCCAACCCTCGTTGGAGGGGGCAGGTGCGGAGGGGCCCGGCAGGGGTGTCGGAGTGGGGAGCGGAGGGAATGCCACTCCGCTCCTCGGCGCCGTTTTAGGCCCCGTCTTGGCCGGCACTTTGGCCTGCGCCTTGGCCGGCGCCTGGGACGGTGCCTTGGCCGGTGCCTGGGCCGGTGCCTTGGCCCCCCTCCTCGGCTTTTGGGGAGCCGATGGAGTAGGGGCAGACGCCGCCGCCGCGTAGGAAACGCGGCCTCCCACCACGGGGAGCGCGGTCGGAGCGGCGGCCTTAGGCCGCTGTGCCGACGCGAGCGGGGGACGCACAATCGGCGCAGGGGGCAGTCTCGCCTCCAGGCCAGCCAGGCGTCCGTCCAGCATATTCCCAACTGCGATGAGGATTTCACGCAGTTGGGAGTCAAATGCCCCTGAGTTGGTGGTAGGGGCAGGCTGGGACACGGACGGGGCTTCCCGCTCGGGGAGGTTCGCCTGGAAGCGGGCGAACTGAGCGCTCAGCTCGTTCACCCGTTCCGTCAGCCTCTCGTTGGCCAACTGCAGGCGAGACAAATCGCCCACTAGGCCCTCCACGACCTCCGACAAAGCGGAGGAGGAGTCCTTAAGGGCCCTCACAAACGAGCACTTAAGGTTAACGGACTTGGTGGCCACCTTGTGGATGACGGCCACCGCCGCTTTCGCCCTCTCCTGCACGGACACGGGAGCCTGGGGGGCATTTCCCCCCACCGGCTCCCGAACCTTGAGCAGGAGATCCGCGATCTCCTCCTCCGCTACGGCCTCGCCGTCCACTCGTACGTTCCTGTAGGACTCCGCCTTTGAGAACGCGGAGCCTGACGGGGTCGAGACCGCGGCCAAACCTTATACCAACCCGTCTGGCCAGCGTGGTATACTTAGTAGGCCGAAACCTCCTTTCTAAGGAGAGGCTTATGTCCAGCAGTGGACTATTAAAGGCTGTTGATGATGATGATATATAATAACTATGTATGCCAAATTCAAACTACTTGTTGAAATTAATTTATTATTATTTATGATGATGACTATGACTGGTTTTGAGTGGCTTTCCAATATTCTTTGTATAAATTATACAATGTTATGTACACACTGCTATTTTTATCCCCCTTATTACAAAGTTCTTTTCTTTATAAATATTAATTTGAAATATTATTTAGGTAACAACTTTTAAAACAAAAATTACTAATACATACAAAAAAATAAGCCACCTTTGTGTGTGAAGCATAGTCATATCTGCTAGTTTCTGGACTTTACCATATTCATTATTGTTATAAATAGAATTACAACATAGTTAAGATGTTAATATAAAACATAAAATATTATATTTCTTATTACCTAACTATGGTTTAATCCTATTTGAGAATTTTTATTATACCTAATTAATAAAATAAAATATAATCACAATTGTCAAATTAACTACTTTATCACTAGTGGGTGTACTGGGAGTAAGACCAATCATCATATTAGGCTCCAACTGTAAAAAGACCTGTATAATGTAATATCAGAAGGCACTGAACTTACATTTTTATTTTGTTGCAACTACTTCTATATTGAGTAAAGGATACGCTA